CCCCCCCCTTCTTTTTGTTTTTGCTGGCCTCTACCTTATGATGTCTGGCAAACAGGTTCCATGAAATGAATCACATGAGGCCAGTAATCATTGAATTAAAAATAAATAAATAAATAAATAAGATCAATGTTACAATATGGCACATATGGCACATTGTCACAAGAATATTTCAGTCAGTCTGATTTTTAACTAGTCGTGTTGTCTGTTACATTAATCTATGTAATTTCAGTCTAATTCAAGCCTAGCATCTTGGCTAAATTCTAAATGTATCTTGATCCTACACAGAATATACACCCTGACACAGAAGAGCTGCTCTTTAAGTGTAAGAGGTGAAATTTAGCAACAGGTTAGTTAGTTTTCTGCAGGATTAGCTGGTCTCATCAGAGGTCCATGTACCAAATTGCAACATGTGGCCATTGAACAGTGTGGACTACCATTTACTGGGGCTCTCAAACTCAGGTCCACATCCATCTCACTAATCATCCTCACTGAGCTCTAAACTGAGTAAATAAAATGGGGGTTGGGGAGAAAACCAATGTTTCACCCACTAACTTAGCAATCAAGCTGCTTAACAAGTGACTGCTCTCAACTATCACTTCTGAATAGATAACTGCTGATTCTGGGAGAAAAAAAATTCATCTTGATGAGGCAATGGTGACATGATTTCTCTCCACTCTGTTCTAGATATATGCCAGCATATTCTTGTTCTAGATATATGCAAGCATAAATTTTTAGATTTGCTAAAAATCTCAAGATATTCCATTTATGCTAAGTTTGGTATTTTTAAGTAACACATGAACACTTCTTATACTACATCCATGATTAAGTACACATTTTAACAAAAACATATGCCATCTACTTTCCAAGTTCTCTTAAAAGCTGTATGTCCTCTTGCTTTCATTGAACTCTGTTCAGTGATATCTTTTTTGGAGCAGGAAGGCACTCCTATTGGCTTGCCTCTTTGAATGAACCCTCCTGATAGCTATGCCAGTAAAAAAAAAAAAACCACACCAGTAAATACTGGAAAGAGCCAAAAAGCTCAATTCTAGCCTTAGTGGAATGGAAGTTACAGAAAATTCATCTCTTCGGACAAAACAAAAGAAGTTAACAGCTCTTGCCAAAGATTTTGTCAAAAAGCTTTTATTTGGAGACTGCCATGTATCAGACCAAATTTTACTTTCATTAGAAAAATTTTACATGACTGAAGAGGACAAAACTTAATATGCTGAGTGTTTGAGAAGCAATGTTCATCTCCTAATTAATTTTCATTTATGACTTATATCTGTGCAAGTAAGATCAGAATCAGGCCTCATATATCTAACCTTGACATATTTTCAAGTTGTCCTTTAAACAACGATTAAAGGCCAGTTTTAGGTTATAGTCAATACTGGGTGGTAAAAGGCCAACAGTAGCTTCTGACATTTTGTGAGGCAGTGCTCCTCAGTCAATTATTTAAAAGTATTGGTTATTAAATGCCACACATGTAGGCGATCTATATTTTCTCTCTGCCATACTAGCCAGCCACCAACCAGAGTGTGAGCTCACGATGGCGTGCTAAAACATATTAAAGTTTCTTTGCAATGACCCCAATGTCTAATACCATATACCTTAAACTTGGCTAGCCCAGGCTTTTCTACATCCCTGTGCCTTCATCACACTTAAATTTACCTATAGCTGCCATAAAAAAAGATTTGTTGTAGGCAAAAGTGATAGTACCTCTCAAACAACAGAGCAACTGATTCAGTCTTAAAAGTTCAATCACAGTAAATCAGGGCTGAGCAAAAACCCTGATGAGGACAAACCCCTACCTTTTCAAACTTGAGTATTTACTTTGAAACCTGCTACATTATCAACACAATCCCCAGATGCTAAAGAAATCTCTTCCTCTAGTGTTTTACCTCATAGTGAGCATCCGATTATTAGTTTGGTGTTGGTAAATAAAGAAGTCTTGAAACTACCTCACACAATACGAACTGCCACCAGCTTTTGCATTATTCTAAGCAAGGAAAACAAATTTTCTTTGAAATGTTAAGAACAGGCTGGCAATGATCTTTTCTGAAGATTTCTTTTTATATGTACAACTGTTTACATCATCTGTCCAGGAGTGTTTTATTACTTTAAAAAGCGCTTACTTGCCAATGGGTTTTCCTGGGTCCTCTGTAGCTCTGTTTGGGACATACCCAGCCACTGCATATATTTTGGAAAGCAAAGTGTGATTCAGTAGGAGCAAGAGGTTCACATTTGGTGAACTCTGCAAGATCATTTATTTCAGAATAAATTAGTACTTGCCAAACAGCAATCTAATTGCTTAAAGAGGTAACTTCAGTCTCTAATGCTATGAGTGCATTGTTAGCTACTATACTTCACTGCCATCCAGGTAATTACTTCTGTTCACCCTGCTACACTGTTCACTGGATACCCTGACCTTGAAATATTTGTTCAGACTTCAAGCCCATAAGCTACTTAGACAAGCGGCACATGAACACCCTTAATTAAGGTTATATCTTTACTTACAACTACAAAGTACAAACTGGGAGTGAAGTGACTCACACATCTAACAAACAGCACATACCTCGCAATTACTCAGATATTCCTTTGAAGGCTGTTTTAGTGAGGGAGACCATGACAACAAAGCTAAGTCTTAAGAAATATTGAACTTCTACCTGGCTGCCCGCTAGAGATGCTAAAAACCTCCTCAGGTTAGCATCTCTTTCAACAGGAATACCTCTGTCAAGACATCCAAGACAGGGCTCTGACAAATGAACTCTGGAAAATCTAACATCAGGAAAGACATCTCCCAGATACACACCCATACCTCTTTCAGAGGTTTCTCTGCCCACCACAAAAATGGAAAAAAATAAGTCTCCACCTATGCTTCAGATCTTTGTTTCAAACCCACTTTATCAGCAGTGCAAGTCAATTTTCCTGCGCAGGAACACAAAGGTGAAGGCACAGAATCATACCTCATTCTTTCAGAGTTGCTCTTCGGCTTTTTCCCTCTAGCAGACACAGATAATTCATCTAGTCCTCATTTGACAGAACAGTTAATTTCAGCACAGACTGTGAATCTGAGCTAAACTACTATATTTTGGCTTAGTCACACATAGTTTGAAGGTACTATGATGGTTTTGTTCCAGTTAATGATCTCCAACGACTTACTCAGAAGTGCCAGCAAGAAGGGTAGAAAACCCAAACCCAAAAATTTCAGGAAGATAAAAAATCTAGAACAACAGCTGCATCTAGTTATCTGAGTTAAACCCTATGAAGAACTTCATTATAATAATACCTGTAAACAAAATACAACTGTATCACCCCCTCTAGAGATGGGAATATTACCTAACTTCAAGCTCATGATCTGTGGCCCGAAGGAACAGAAGAAAGTTCCCAAGGAGGTTTAGAGCCACCACAGAAAGCCATATATCAGATGTAAACACACAGGAAAAATTGTGTTTCAATCCTTCATTAACTCTGTATTTGATTTTTTTGTGCAATTTTGTCTTTTGTATTTAAAAACACTAACAAAGAAAAAAAAACAAACAACAACAAAAAACTACAAACAAGTGACCAAATCCTGCCCACGCTGATCAAACAGAAGACTCATTTTCATCAATGAACAGTTTGATTCTATAAAGAAAACACATTCTTGTTCTTTACCTGCCCCAGAAAAATTGAACCCTGAAAACACAAAGATTTATCATACAGTGAGTAAATGAAAGTAGGAAGCTTTTCTATGCAAAAAAAGTTGCATCATCCTCACATATCTGTATGTTTTTATTTCAGTGATGTTCAAAAGGGAAATGTGCATTTACCACAGTGATAAGCCACTAGTGATTTTGTCTACTTGTGCAGCAAATTCATGAAATGTAAGCAGCACTTTGACATACGGAATTTATCCTTCAAGTGAAGAGGTGACCCTGGGATAAAAAAAATTAAAAAGAGGTGAGCGGGCACTCTTTTTTCAAATGAAATATAGATTCAATGTGTCTACTAAGTCTAAGAGCGCAATATGTACAAGTTAAACAATGATTTCTGTTACAGTATATCCCATATGCGTAACAGGAAACATCCCTGTATGTCACATAGCAAAATTACTCAGGTGACTGCAAACACCAGGGGCTAGTCTCTCACCTGATGTAAACGGCACATGTCTTTGATGTTATAGGACCAGTGCAAATTTACACCAGCTGTGCATGTGGCCCTAGCTGTGCAAACCACATATGCGTGTAGTTTTATGGACTGAGCCTGATTAATGTTTTGTAAAACCCTGCATGCATCGAACTTCTTTAAATTGCTCTAGGAGCTGTTTTGCTAAAAGTCAAGGGTGCAGATCTTCTGCCATCACTATACTCCATTTTACCAACTGGAAACACAATACAGACAAAAATGTGTTCTCTGAAGTTTTAGTAGCAATATACAATAACGTATTCCTCAGCAGATAGCAATTTTAAACATAGTTTACACAACTTGTAATTTGAGTGAGAATTACCTAGGTACTATATGGATGCCGAAGTGATAATACTTTGTAGAAAGAGAGCACAGCTCCTTCAAAATGTCTAAATATACAAGTGCTGCAAAAAACAGTGGTATTCAAGCAAAAAGTGATTCAGAAGTTTGTCTTATCTGGTTGCTATAGCTGTTTTCAAAGAGAGATGAGTGCTTTACAGTTGGAAGAGCTGAAAACTTTGTTTCAGGTAGAAGGACAGTCTTCCAGAGCAGCTAAATAGTCTGCCATCTTAAACTCCTAACACATAGCCTTGACTACATTTTCTGTAACTTTAAAAGAAAAAATGAAGAAGTGCTAAATTTACCGTCTTCAGAAACACTACCCTTGCACGACAACAGAGTCCACAGTGTCACATTCCTGACTCTATCCACTAAGAAAGAGTAAGCCAAAATACATTTCTTGTGATACTGCCTACTTTTATACCACAGGAAAAATAATCCATTTCCACAGTTTCCCAAAACACTGTCTGGTATTTTCAGTTCATTTGTCAAAACAATGTGTTTGTTAAGACTCCTGATCTGTTCTTCCAGCCAGAAAGCACTGACAGCTTCAGTGGAATCCTGTGCAAATGCATGTTACACTTGCCTATGTTGTAGCACAGAACAACCTGTTTAGATACATTCCCCACTATTATTTCCACTGTATTTTCCTCAGAATATACTTTCAAGCACATATGCACAACTGTGTCACACCTGGCATTCTGTAAAAATCTGGTTCAGCACCTGAGGAATAACTGAAAAATTTTTTTTTTCCCTCTGAGTTTTTTCAGCTTTCCTTTTCTGTTAGGAAAGCATTAGAGTAGTTTGGTTCATCCCCTGCACCACCAGATTTGGTGTAGTACTACTGAAACCACTCTTGTACTCTACCAGCAGAGGGATCTTAAAAAGGAAAAATGAAAACTTCAAAGGAATGAAAGAATCAATCCAAGTTAACCCCAATTACTGTACCTAAGAAAAAAAGTCAAGCCCCCCACCCCTGCTTTCAAACTTGTACAGAGCAATGCCCTGTGAGCAGCTGAACACACTTAATTGCAGTTAACTCCATGAGCACAATGCACCTCTCAGAACGTGGCTGAAGTATTTTCAGTGCAGTCATCTCACCTCATTATGTATTTCTTCTACTTGCTTTATAATGGCAGTTTCCAGTGATTTCAAAGATAAAGTCACTGAATCTGGCTCAGTCTGCAAATTCTGGAGCGCCAGTTCACATTGTCCGAATATGTATTCCAATGTTCCTCTTGAACACTATAAAGATACATTAAAAAAATATATATAGCTACTTCAGAATACGTGTGTTTTCCAAATATACTGAACTATTAGCTTCTGAAATAAGCGATGCATTTCTTTAATTCATGATCTTTTAAACATAAGCAGAATGCCTCCTGGAGTGTCTATGCAGTTATTAATGTAAATTATGCAAAAGCCTAATCTATCAAACATATAGACAATCGCTACTGCATAGATTGAAAGGGGAAGGAAAATAATTCCTTTTCAATTTACTTTACAAATACAGCATACGAAACCACAGTCATATTTCCCATTGTTTCCTAGTCAGTTTTTGACAGTATTTCAGAATCAGTTGTATTTGCCCAGTTGTATGGGCTTCTAGTAACACTCAAATGGACCTTGATATGCAGTCTGAGAGCTGTTTGCTTACAGGGTATAAAGAATATGAACAAAACAATTTTGCACTTCAGCTCCTTTTGTTTTCATTAATTTTCCTCCAAAATTAAGAGGAAATTTGTGAAAATTCTTTTGAAACAAAAGAAAGAAGACATCTTTCAATTACTTTCAATTGTAAAAGCAATTTAACCTGTACCTTCAGTTAAATTTCCAGGAATAATCTTAAATAAGGACCCTCTGGTCTCATATGCCTTGTAAAAAACATTTCCATACTATGCAACTTGAAGTCACAACAGTTTAGAAAGACAAAGCATAATCACTTAATAGAGAAGCTTTTCATACTGTTAAAGTTAAGTGTGAATTTTCCTGAAAAAGTAACACAGAGAGAGGAGCAGTATGTCAGAACACAGAATGATTTGGTTTAAAATGTACAGTGTACTTTATGTCAAAGCCCAGTTCAAGCAGGCAGAATCTGTGTTTGTCTGGGAAAAAAAAGCCCTTTTTTATGTTACAACTTACACACACATTTATGTCTGTGTTTGGTGCTACTGCTTCATTTCCATTCTTTCACAAATTAGGAAAAATAATGGGGGAAAAAAGAAGTCTATGGATACTTGTATCTCTTGTTTCAATAGCAGTATATTTTGTCTTGCTGAAAGAAGAAAGTGGTACTTGTAATTTTTTAAAGTATCTTTTTTCAACACCGTCGTTTTATTTCTCTGTATATTTTTCCATTAGAACATTACATCAACAAAAATGCTGATAACACCATGGAAAAGAACAGAGAAGAGAGGTTTAGTTTAATAAAAAACTAAACCAAAAAGGTGTCTTAGCACTTGTGAATAGCAGGCTGAAGCCTTGTTGTCTCAGAATGACTCTGAGACAAATGACTCTATCACTTTTCAGCTTCTTTAATCATCAGATGCACAGAAAGATCCAATTTAAAGCATACTCATGACTACTCTTAAGTTGTTCTGTCCTCCTGAAAGACATTTTTGCCAGTGGACACTGCTGACATGTTTTGAGCATTTCTGTCTCATCAGGAATATTGCTTTTCAACTAGGATCAAGGTATGAACACAGCAAAAAAGTTTTAAAATATTTCAGGTGAAAATACAGTTGTTTCTACAACTTCCATCAGTAATCCACAAGGTGCAGTGTGCCACAGTTCTTAATTCATATCTTACGTGCCTAACTGCGAATTTGGTCAACCTACCCGTACAGAAACAAGTATACCTAAATCCAAAAATAAACATATAGCAGTCGTTCAAGAAAACAGTTTGAAACATAAGCACAGCTGTGAACAACAGTTCTGGGTAAGACAACATGATGCTACATATACGATACCAGAGTATTAGTTTTATGAATGACTGATACTTACATCTGCCACTCTGTGAGTTGAGCTGAATCGAGGTGAAAAACCAGCCAGAACACAGTGCTGATGTGTCATATTGAGATCATCTAGGGACAGAGTAGAAAACCATAAGTACAGGGGAAAATTGTACTTAATAAAATTTATTTTGGCTTTAATAAGAATTAAATGCACTACATTAAGCACTTAAAAGAAAAAAAGATAATTCAGTCAGACAGTACTATCTTAACAGAACTCTAATGGTTAGCAAAGCAAGATAACTATTCCCTGTCCTGATACAAAAACTCATATTATTTTTCTCCCAGTCTATATAGAAGTAGCATTTTCCTGTCTCTTACAGGAAAAGTTCAACCAATTAATTATTTCAAAGTTGAGGATCACTTTAAACAACAGATTACTCAGAAATCAGAGTGTCTTTCCTCAAAAAAATCATTAAACAATACTGATATTTCTTGGGGCCAGGGTCGGGGGGTGTGTGTGTGTGTGTGTGTGTGTGAATAAAAAAAATAAATTAAAAAAAAAGAAAAAGAAGCTAAGAAGAAAAAAGACAAAGATATATTATTTCATCTTTTTATCCAAAACTTCTCTAAAGTTCTCTTCAGATAAGTTTGTGACTTCTCTGGGAACTCACAAAGCACAATCTGCCCAAAGACTATCTCCAAGCATTGCATTTGTGACTTTTTGTGGCCTGCCAGAGGGCTGTCATGGACTTGAGTTCACAAAGTGGCTCCTTAAACCCTGTAGAGGGAACCTACTTGGTTGCCATCAGAGTTCTGTCAAATTACCATAACCAAAGGATGCTTGAATTCTGACAAATTAGATTCTTCTTCTGGAAGCGTCAAGACTAAACCTAGTAACCACACTCACAGTTACACTGAACCCCATTCATAAAGTGCTTTCAATTCAAACAGTTTTGGTGTCAAAATTATGCTGCCCTCTCAACCTTAACAAGACATTTAGGAAAATCTATCAACAATTTTTTTTAATCTTTTTTTCAATCAAGAAAGAGCACTCCTGGGTTATAGTTCTGTAAGTCAATAGAAAAACTAGGTGATCTTAAGTGGCACCCAGCAAAAAAAAAGTCATAGACAAAGTTAGAAGAGAACAGGAAAAGAGACCTACAAGATGCTAGTTAACTTAAGAGTCTGTATTTTCAACAATATCTATTCTTTCAGGGAATAGGAAGACAAGTGTTACGGAACAGTTTTGAATTCCCATTGAGAAACTTTAGATGAGAAGTTTATTTTCTATTTGCATCACATTTGCAGATAGGCGAAGTTGAAAGGCTTGAAAAAAAATGCTCCAACACAAAAAGAACATAGGAAAAAGTGACTTTCTACGTAAACATATGAGGGTTAAATTGCATAGAGACAAGTCTTACAAGGGCCACAGAACAGGATTATCTCTGGACATTGCAATATTTAAATATCATTACCACTTTCTAGAAGAACTGCAACACAAACCAAACCTGAACACTTCCACCAGCCCACTGAGTGTGCATTCACTGTGGTGTTTTATGTAGCAACACAGCACTAAAAGTATTACATTTTGATTTGCACTGTTATTCAAACCCTTGGCAAACCTTTCATTGTAGAGCTACCCCTTGAAATTGTTTCCAACTGTCTCTAATTCTTTATGAATCTTAGAAAGAAGCCTGTAATCTTAATTTAAGAGTTTATAATTCATCTAAAACTGTAATTGTACAAAAATGTTTTGAAGGATATCTGAAAAATATGTTCTAGGTCTTAAAAGATTATAGTAAAGATTTGCTTTTCTTTTTCTTCTGAAAAGTATATTAATTGAAAAGAAAAAGCACTCTTCATTAAATTGGCCATTGTTCATTTGGCAGTAAAAGGTTTTATTCAGATACAGGACACTACATCCAGATTGCTATTTTGGTGTCAGAGCCAACCCAAAACTGTTACCTTCCTTGGGCAGCCATGTCAAAACTACCATGGCACTCTTATGGTTTTAGGTAAAATATGATACATATGGAGTTAACATCAGTTTCATAGGGCTAAACACTGATCCATGAGGTTTCAAAACACAGCCTCTTCAGTATTATGCATAAAATACATGCATATAAAAGTAGGAACATATGTTTCAGTCCTGCTTTGGAATACTGCATGCAGGCATCTTATTTGTCCAGCAGTTCTCCTAGACTTGTGGTGAAGTAACAGCCAAAATTGTGCCTTTTCTGCCACAAAACTGTGGGCCCTTATCTTGCCACTAATTCAGGACAGCTATGGCAGTGACATCTCACGCCAATATCTATTACAAAACAAAATCCCACAGAACTTAGGTGAACTGTATATAATGCATACAAGAAGTGACTTTTTATTTTAAACCACTGTTAGCATCAACTTAGCAGGGTATTTAGTATAGTTTCAAGAACTGTCACATAATTGTTTCTTTTTACAACAGTCTTGCCTTCCATATGGATGCTTACGAGATGCTGACACCAATTAACTAACTGCTAGGTAAGAAAAGTTTTGAGAATTGGACTACAGTTTTCTGCTTACATGACTGTTCCTCTCCCAGAGTTTTCCCACATCCATGGAAAACGCTGTTACTTGCACAGGCTTTTTCTTACAAATTATCCAAATTTTAAATATTAACTCTATTAACTCTAAAATTAAATCAAAAAGCTACTTAAATCCAATACCTGCTAGAGTGCAATCCTGACCAAAGAGAATTTTCTCAATCAAAGCCAAATCACATGTATTTAAAGCTATTAATATTTACCTGTATTAACAGGATACCATTGTGCCACCAGTTACTGCACAAGTGTGGATGATTACTTGCACTTCAGGCAGAATAATGCCCAAATATTGGGACAGAATAAGTTTCCCCAGGATACTGACAACATTGTAAAGGGCTTGTCTGCATTTCAAAGGAACATAACTTGGTTGGAAACAGACACTTGGTGTTCTAGTGCTGGAAAAAAAGAACTTGACTTTTCTGTGTCAGATGCAGCACCTAAGAAACAAGGAGACTATTTCCTGCATGCATGTATATGGCAAAATCTATATTTCTTTTAAATGGATTGTTTAATTCTTTTAATTCTACTACTTTCTGTCTGCCACTTCCCAATGAATTACCTGCCACTTCACAGCCAAATCCCATTACAGGACTACTATAGCTGGGGCAAGATTTATTAAAAGAAATTAATCACATGTATGATTATGTACAGGTGGCCAAAGCCACCTTGGAAAACAAAGTTATCAACTTGAAGTGTGTTCAAATAATTTGGAGGTCAGATTCTGACTTTACAGATTAAGTACTAAGCAGTCGTAAGAATGTTAAGCAGATGATCTGAGTAGTTGCACACAATTATTTGACATAGAATTTCCAGCTACAGAAACTTCAGATAACGCACCTTATGTAAAACACAGTTACAAAATGGAGATAGAGTTTTTATTTAATACAGATTATTCCTCACACCTGCAGGAAAAAGAAAAAACAAAACAAAACAAACCACAAAACCCAAACAATACAAAACCATGTAAAGTACTTGGTGATCTAATACATTTATCCATGGAAGGCCTCTGTAAAGTTGGTAACTGACACAGAAAAACCTATGGGTAAGGAGAGGTTAAGGGACTTGCGAAAGCTTGCACTGAAATTCTGCGAGAGAAGCAGGCTTACAGCTCCTAAAACTAATGCTACTGTTTTAACACATGACCATCCTTCCACTGCCAGATGCAGATTATTATTCTCTATGCAGACTCCCTTATCTCAGTGATTTTTCTGCTATTTACAGACAGCAGATGCCTTCTGGAATTTGGATGCTGCATATTTTATTTTAAATTGTGGGAGCAAGTTCATGTCATAGATCTTTCTGTCCCTCGCCTGTAGACTTCTTTGCTCAGATACACCCCTTCCAGCACAGAATCCTCTCCGGTGCTTGAAACTACTGCCAACTCCTCTTCTCTCCGATCCTATTCTTCTCAGTCCCTGTCCCTGCTCTGTCCACCCCTCACTGTACTCTTACTTCTACACAGCTGAATCGCCTGGGCACAACCAGCAGAAAGGTGGTGCCCACTGAAAGCCATGTGCTTCCATAGCCTTTGTTGAAAGAACAGACTAATGGATAGGTGTATGTATATACACTTAACTAACAGGTATACTTAAAGAGAGAAACAATGACTATATACCCATGTCACTGCAGACTAAGACATAACAAATAAAACATAGAAAGCAAGCCAGTCCCTATTGAAAGGAGCAGGGACTAAAGGCCCCAAACTTATTACTGCTAGGTAAAGTACTTCCCAGGAAAACACAAACCACAATGGAAAATGCTCTCAGAATGAGCAACAAGGGTTTATGTCATCTTTTCTATCTTCTTTCAAGTGTTCTTCCTGAACTTTTTAGACAGTTGCCTTTTTGTCATCTGTTTCATGAAGCAGATAAAAGGTACAGTGGGGTTTAAAGCACTGGCAAAGGCTTTGATATTCCAAACACCACAAATACCTACAAATAAAAGTGAAATGGACTTGTGCTATTTGTTTTCTTAACTACATAAAGAAATAAAGAATTTTAGAAAATTTGAATTTTAGAAATATAGAATTTTTATATTTTAAAGAAATATAGACTCTTAACTATAAAGAAATAAAGAATTTTCTTTCAAACCATATTACAGTGCAATTTGCAAAAGCACCAAAATGCTTTCCCACCATCTCCAGTTCTATTTGTACCCAACTTCACACAATGGTTAGGTTTTCTCCTGTTGAAGCAAACTAATTTTACCATAGGTGTACCAACAAAAAGCACCAGGAAAGTATGTTTTGTTCCCCAAGAAATTAAGGATCAATTGAATACTACTTTCATAACAGAAAGCTAGAGGGATGATCTGTCCTAATTAAAAAAAAAAAAACCTTTTTAGTTTTTAAACAAGGAAAGTGTGCACAAACAAAACACAGAAGGAATTAAAAGGCTGAGCTAAAAGAAAATAAAATATTGGGGATTTGCCCAACTTCATGATCAAAGTCTGGTAATGACAAATACTTTCCTGGGGTTTGAAGTTTTAGTAATCAGGAATGCAGCATTTGGATTAAATGTGGACTCGGGAAGGGAAAATAAAAAGGGTTAAAAAACTCCAACACATTCAAGATGCTAGAGAGCAAAGAGGGTTCAAGTTAATTTGTGGAAATAGAAGCAGATTAAATATCTAGAAATAGTTTAATGAGCCACTATATACATGTGGAAGTGTTTCCATTAAATACTTATCCTTAACCACAAGCCAAACTCTGCAATGTGTGCACCCTACTTCTGGTTGGTTAAGAAAATAATTTTTTGATGCTTCTTGAACCATAATTTGCTGGGGGTAGGGAGTAGTAAAAGATTCCAAGTTCATCTTCATGCTGTTTTAAAAGCCTAACCTTCAAGCAAGAGCTTGATCTATGGGAAACAGCTGCAGAAAAATAAATCTCCCTTTGAAAAAGTCCAGAATGTATTTTTGTTAAGTATGTTTTGAAGTCACAGTAGGAAAATTAGTGAAAATTGTAAATCTGCTTGCAAATCTGGTCATGTCTAACTCCAAGATTAGGGGAAAGATTCCAATTTAATAGTGAGACCATGACAACCCTAGTTAAGCATGCTCTAGGACAGAGCAGATGGGGCCCTTTGCTCACCTCCACGCGTTTTGGATTTATTGCATGCACCCAACACGTTTCATATTAGACACCCCTTGACTGTGTACTTGAGACAGCAGGGTTCAGTATGCACTTCCTCCCCAGACCAATATATTATTCTAAATTGAGCTAACGTGTTTCCGTTTCATGAGTGATATAAAGTTTAGATTTGAGTTTTTAGGCAGCAGATTTGCAGTCATTCACCAGATTTTTTTCCTTCATATTAGGAAAAGTAAGCCTTAGAAAAAACACATAAAAATCCATCCTACTTAAAGGTTTTCAATTTTCAATTTTGTTTAGTCCTGTTTAGACAAAACACATTTATATATTGTAATAATGTACTTGAAGAATGGATTTGATCGCCTCGCATTTAGTAATAACATATATTTACATTATGGCTTATGATTTCATCTGAAGAAGACTGACAAGAATACAGGTGTAAGTTTATATTTAAGACTGCATTTTACTAAATTTCTACCCAGAATAACAAAAAATGTTTTATAGAGGCAATGAAGAGAAGAACATAAACATTAATAAATGTCTACTAGAAATGCTAAAACCCACCCCCAATCTCTTTGTTATTTTGATATACCCATTGACCAGGATTTACAAGTTACTGTAATAGCATGTTACTATTAGAAATATTAAGTTGCCACATTTTCTTACCTAATATTTGCATTTACAATATCAGGAGACAGTTGGAGTACGCAGGTACAGGAATTGGTAAGACCTGACTCCTTAATCATAAGCAATATAATGAATTAGACATTTCAGTATTTTATAACAACAGTAGAAAGTAGGAATTACATCAATTGGAAGATTAGACCTACAGAGCTGCTAAGTTCTTTGCTGAGTTGGCTGAACCAGAAGTATAGAACCAATCTTACCAGGACTACCATTCAGTCTCTGTACATCAACATCTACTATTAGCTGCAGTACTCTTAATGTTATATTTTCTAGATGCCTTGCACGCTGCTGACACCGCTTTTAAAATAATGTCAGCAAGAAGACTTAAGTGAGGTTCTGGAACATATGATGTCTAAATGTACAAAATAAATGAATCTGAAATGGGTTTATTGTCATGTTACTTTTTAGACAGTTTTCATATTTTATCTTGGAGCCTACTACTCAAGATGCCTACTCTTAAAAGTCATTTAAAACCAAAAAATCTGGATGGTAAAAACACCACTAAAACTGTTCATGTCCACTTACACTGCCTTTCACTTCAAGTGAATATGATAAAGGAAGTTCTGCTGTAGATAGAAACTTAACAAAAGAGACAGTTTGAGAATACTTTTTCAGACTGTATAAAATTTTTTTTTATAAGTAATTGAGGAAGAAAAAAACCCAAAAGGCTATGGAAATGCAGAAAAGATTATCAAACACCTGGCCTACAGAGCTCAAATCTGCAGCTTTCCACAAAGTATTAATAAGAGAATGATTTACACATCATCTTCAAAAGAATGTTTAGTACATCCTTTGTTTCCATCTAAACATGATCATGATGTTATGTGTTAAATAAACCAACTTTCTGACCTACCCTTCATATAGCACCCCTGATACTGTTTTAGTTACTGTATATAAATGCCATTGGGGAATAAAAAAAAGTCCATAGATTTTGGTAACTCAACCAACTACAGTATCTTGCGATAAAAATACTGAAGCTAGACCCCTTCTTTTATTAATCGCCTTCTCAATCTGCTGCCCAGAAAACTGTGTATGCACAAACTTTCCAGTCAGGAAGGATTAGTTAAGTTTACTTCATGCCTGAACTGCTCTTGCACAAAAATGGATTAATAGTTCCTTTTCTAGGAACATTTAGCTGACACTTTATTCACTATCTCTGTTTCCCTCCATGCTGCTACTCAATAGCCTCACAAATACAGAAGAGAGGCACATCTACACCACTCTGCCAAAGGATCTCACATCTTAACACTTGATCTGTTCATGCCTGAACATACTTTAAAGCACAGTCTAGCTCTTTTACACAACACACTTCATTGATGACAATGCACAGCATCTGGTGAGGTAACTGAGAACAAAGAATGGTATATGTTTTATAAGATTGCCCACAAACGTATTGCTTGCAGTAAGTAAACTGTTTTCATAGTTGTTGGAAGATGAAAGTGAAAGGTAAAAATGAAAAGACTGTTGAGCCCAATAAGTTGGCAGTGTGATGGGTCATTCTATGGACATTCCAAGGAGTATTCCTTCCAAGTCACAAAACAAAAAGGGAACAGTGCAAGTGCTCTCACTCTGCAGAGACGATGTCTGTTGAGCCAAGCCACTAAACAGGCAAACAGGACATTGTCAGAAGCATTGCTAATGTTTTGAGTTGTGTGATTTGTAACTAAGTTTGTTTAAACAAAAATGATATTCAAGTGAAACACAAGCCAAAAGAGAAAGGAACAGATTCTGTGTCAAGAGTTGGTCTTCGGTTCTTGCTTTTATTCTTTCAATGGGAAAAGCTCAGTGTGTGAGCTCAGCTGCTCAAGTGTATGAACTCAATTTACTTTGCTTTTTTTAACCCTCTATGCTTGAGACCTGAGATTTACTTAGGAGTATAACAGCTCTGTTCATTAGGAACTTGGTATAATCCCCCTATTAGAAAATAGTATGTTTGAATACACACATAGAAATGTCTAGCAGGGGGAGAGAAGTGTCATGTCTAAAAATCCACAGATTGGCATAATGGTTGAAACTTCAAGAACCACAGTACCAGAAAACTATACAACTGTTACATTCACAGCTTCCATAATACACAGCCACACTATAAGCCAACTCAAAAGCAAAAATTTTTTTCTGTTGAATGTAACAGACACGAATGCTCCCAGTTACTCATAAAAATGGCATTAAGAATAAAAAAGAAATTGGCATCTACAAATAGAAGGATGGAACAGATACAGCTCAGCTTCTCACAGGATCTAAGGAAATTCCACTTATGGCTGAAGCTTGACATGGGCTAGCAATTCTGACTGCACAAAGAACAGAAAAGGCTGAGAAAGAGTATCTCCCTTTCTTAGCTGTGACATGAAAGAAACATCATGAAAAAAACACTTTCCCCAAATACACAGGAAGTGGGCAGGGAGGAGGAATTTATTATATACTCTAGCCGGTTCTCATGTCTTTCTAAGTAAGAAAAGTCCTTACTGAAAGGAAGATATGATAATTTATATTAAAATAAGTGTCATTTTCTCTATTTTCAACGGAGTTCACCCCCTTAGCCCTTGAGAATTACCAAGCATCAAGTAGCAGTCTCCTTGGTGAAGTGGCATTGCTAATCCAGGTGTCTCTATGTCCCATGCTACCTTCAAGCCTACGTGCCAAACAGCTGGGTCTCTTCCCTTCAGTATTTGTTCATCACTTTCTGCCACAGCTGAACCTTTAATGAGAGAGAGAGAGAAACACCACAACACCAAGGTGAGAACCATAACATATAAAATCTGGTCTAGTACAAAGATATCCCACACTGGTACAATCTTAAGAGGCTTAAACTTCCTATAATCTACATTGGTACAATAACAAACTCCAAACTCAAAAGTATATAATAGATGAAAAAACAGCCATGTGAGATCAAGATTTTTTTGCAACCAACTTTATTAAGATGAAAACTTCATGTTAACTACAACTGCAAATCAAGGCAAAGTTTGTAATGGACTCAAGGTTTTCTAAAGTTCTCAAGTACATGTAATAGGACATGTGATTAATCTCTTTTTTCTCTTTTTTTACATTACTAAAATTGTAAGCATAGAAGAAAAAGAAGAAAAATACAGATAAAAAGATTAAAAAAAAGATAACTTTTGAAAGAATTTGAAGTCATAAACTGCAAGCATTTTATGAACAATTTCATTTGTTTATATACTTGCAACTTCAACAAATCATAAACTGAGGCACAAATACAATGCAGACCAACAAAGTTCAGCGAATCTTGGAATCGTATCTGTCATTCTTCTCTCAAAATTATTAGTCAAACATGCTAGATAACATGTACAAGAGCCAGCGAAGCTTCAGTACATTTGTCACAACATTTTTCTTATCATTAAGCAACATGAATGTGTTGAGCTTGGGGAAAAAATAATCCACTGCACAGAAATAGCATTTAGAACTTAATCCCTCAGAACTGTTTTCATAAGCTTACTTTACTGCAGTATAAATTGAAAGATACAGTCAGAATTTATAACAAGGTATTTGGGAGCTGTGGTATAACAGTTTTATGGGTAAAGTAACAGAACATTTTGACAGAGGGAGGATGAAGTTTTAATAAGCAGATGGCACAGAATGGCAGTGAGCAGCTAGAAATCATCAACTATGCAGCATGCCTAATTATTGCTTCTATGTTAGTAACTGTGTGTGTCCATGTCACTGTCCATTTCAAATGTGCTTTCATGTAATAATTTTTAAAACTTTTGTCTTCATTTAATTCTAGAATACAAATACTAAAGATTCATATCTTCTATAATATGCAGACATAAAAAGCGACCTTGAGCTCACACTTTCAAAACATTCAAGTCATTCATCTCCCATGGTTACTGCAATGTTTTTTTGGTTAGGAGTAGCCTTTAACAATTAAATTGTCTTGATTTTCTATGTCAATTAAATATTGCCTAAATTCAGAAAGCAGAGAGACAAAACCTTTCAAAAAGCCAATCTGAAGTTCTTAGTTAAAGCTCCTACTGTAAATTCAGACTCCATATTCCCTCCCTTCACTGCTGCAGTTCTCTAGCTAAAGCCTTGGCTCAGGAGCACCTCTAGGCCTTTCTATCAAGGAGCACACAAATGAGAAAACAAGAGCTAGCAAATACTCGGAAAAATCAATACTAAAGTCTTCAAGGGGCTTTCATATTTTCTGCCCTGCTCAGATAAATCGTAACTTAATTTAAGAAAAATGTTTTCTGAAAACTGCAAATAGGATGTCTTTCAAGGCATTTTTAATGCAATACATCATGGATATTATAAAAAGAGGTAACCTTTCTGGGTTAGCTCTCTCTGTTATGTTGCTTTCCCATTCACTTTGGCAGCAGCACTGTTCACAATATGGCACCAATAAAATATAGAACTACAATCAGAGACAGCAATTTCAATCAAAGTTTCCTGGGGTCTCCTCATAAATCCAGCACCTTTGGAATGTGCTCGTTAAAATGACTTATTTTTTGCAGTTTGATAAATTTTTTATTGCTTAAGTACAGAGTTCAAATGTAGCTCACAGTCTCCTTTTCTCTATATTCTCAATTATTGCACCTTATAATTATCAGCAGCAATTGAAACTGATTGCTCCTACCATGTTATTTTGGTAACAAATGGAAGCAAGCTGCTACTAGCTTTTATATGCAAAATGTTCTGAAAGCGGTAGCAATGGGGGGAAAAAAAGAAAAGCATCTTAACATTTCTGGTATATCTGTAGGCAGCACTGACAAACTTTTACATAAAAAGAAATGGTTATTAAATTCTCTGTGTCACACCTCAAGCATGACTGAATGCTGTTAATTGACCGACATAATTACAGTTCTCATGTAAGTGAAAACATTTGGATGCATCTAAATCTTAGGTATTGAAGAGTAAATCATGTGGATTTTGCACATACACAACACCTTAAGAGCCTGTATTTACTTTGGAGTAGGCCATACAGAATGCACGTAGGCTTACAGAACATAGGTCAAATGCAGCAGCATTTAATGAAAATACAATAAAACTATCTACAAATGTGAATTCTGTTCATTAAGGATTTACAGAATGTGGTGCTTGCATCCCAAATGGAATGGTACAACCAGGTAAGAAGGTTATCACATCATAACAACACCTCATCAAACCTGTAATTAAGGTAGAACCATGAAAGAGAGAATAGAGCTGTAGAAAATTGGCCACAACATTTTACTGCTACCTAGACTGCTTAAATTTCAGATGTTCCAGCTCTAAGACCTGATCTTATCAGGTTTGGGTCATGGTGAGGTTCAGAACAACGTGAAATTTATTTTCCTGGATCTAGTTTGCTTATTGTTCCACAGCACAAAAAGTAAAAGTAGCTTTGAGAGGTTTCTTTGCTATTCAGCACCAAAGTCTCCAAGAAACTTTTGAAACTCTGGAACCTCAATGTTCTCTACTCAAGTCAAACTGTAATGCCAAACAGTATTCCAAATGTAATCTTAAATCAAACATGATTTCTTAAGATGAAAGAATCATTCCCAACACATTACTAAGAACAAGGACTGTAAACTTCTACTTTGTCATTAAACCCAATTGACTATTGTTACAAAGAAAAAAGAATTTTTTTTCTACAGATTGATTTTTTTCGGCATCTAGAATTTGGACACGTGTTCAGCGATTGCTGAAATACGTGAACATACACATTATTACTGCGTTCCATAGCAATTTATGTATGTTATATGAAAGAAGTGAAAAAAAGCAAAGTATGCTTTGCATTTCAGCAGCTGAAAGAATGAGTACCTACCCAGAGTTATTTCTTCTGCCTTATTACTAAAAGCCATAGATTAATAGGCTGATTGAACTGTAGTATCATTAACTTTTGCTTGCCACTGACATTCACAGCAAAAATTTGCCAACATTGTTCGTATCAATTCATATTTGGAATACTGTATCCAAATACATCAAGAACAGAAGCACAAAAATAAGAACAACAGATATTCTCTTATCACTTCACACATGAAGGAGAGGCTTTATCTGATCATATCAGTGAGAGGTGGTTAAAAAAAAAAAAACAACCCATAACAGATAATTCAAATGATAATTTCCTTTTAGCAAACAGAGATTTAAGTTGATTATTACAAAAGTAATTGGTTAAGTAAAAATTTGTTATTCTCTGAGAATTATTCCAACTAGTCAGAACCTACAAGTTACAGATGTGACCATTTCACTCATATATTAATTTCTTAAGAAATAATATATATTTTTCTACATACCACTTCCATTATTTCATCAAGAAATACTACTACATTACTGACATTAAACACCATTTACTGTAATTGTTCTTATCCAATATAAACACCTACTCCGTGACTTTAATCCATTAAGCAGTACATAAACAGAATTAGTGGTCAACTACAAATTTAGATTGACTTCAATTCTGAACAACTTCTGAGGTTTAGTGCTAGGCTATTGCTTCTAATATCAGTGTGAAAAAAATACAACCAGCATTTTATAATACTAACAAGCATAAAAGCTCCTCCAAGATCAGTCATTACTGTAACAAAATTGGTCAAACCTTTCAACATGACCTTGTCAGTAAATAGAGCCAGTTGGTTAGTACTTCAAGGGATTCATACAGCAAGTAGGCCTTAAAGTAAGACAAACTACTGCAAAGCATCTAAAGAAAAGTACTTCTCTAGCCCCAAATATAGTTTGTGAGAAATCCAGGTAAGAGAAAGATGGACACTTCCTGTGACTACATTATTTTCCATCTCCTTTAAGCTGGTAACTGAAACAAGTCTCTACTTCGAAGAACATCTTTAGAACCAACTACTGCTCTGCTAAGCAATAAAATTGCCTACAAAGCTTACAAAGACCTTGGGGAAAACTGTTTATTAGGAAATTTTCATGGATTAAATCCAGTTTTTGAGAATGCCCTTATTCCACCAGTATTTGGATTGCAATAAACATTTTATAAATAGAGCAGGAAATAAAAATGAGTTATTAGCTTACTGTATTAAAAGCCTGAACAAGTTTTTACCTTCATGCTCTCATATGATAGGATATTTGTAACCTAATTTATTGTTAAAAATCCTAAATTAGTCAAAATTTGGAATTCCTGTTCCACAGTAAATTCTGAAAAGTAAATTAATTCTGAAGTGTTGATAGCAGTCTGATTGAACACACATTCTGTAATGTATCAGTTCTGCATATGCACCATGACTACCACCCATGTACCTCCATGCACTACATACATTTAAAGGAAATTTCCCCAGTTTTTTGTTGGCCTATTCTTATAACTGACAATCTACTTTTAACCTACCGTAATGTAATGTATTTTACTTTAAATAAAAGCAAATACTAGTCAGATGAGCATCAAGCAAAATACGTATCTGATTTTGTTGTTAGAAAAAGTACCTCATTTGAAGTTACTTTTAAACATCTTGCGACTGAAAACAAGAAAATAAACAGTGATATTAATGAAGGTATCAGTTGCTGTTCCAATAGCTTCATGTTGGCTCTCAAATTTCTTTTCTGGCATATTAAAAACTGCCTCTACTCCAATTAATACTAATCAAAGTTTCAAACATTAGATTTTAATTATGGCATCAGACTGAACAAGCAAACAAGTAAATACAGTTGTTTCAATTACAGTAGTATCTGTTTTAATACTGTTTAATCACATAAGTAGGTACCAAACAAATAATGATATAAAAATGCAAATTAAAGTTGTGCATCTCTACACAGTCTGATAAACAGCTGCCATAGTGCAGTAAGACTGCTTGACTCCAAGGGCTCCTGCTCTTCAAATTCTGAAGCCCTGGGGATTGTATTTGTGGCAGGATAGCTCAGTACTGGCCATGAAGCTTGGGAAAACCCAGCCGTCCCATGCTCAGGGACAGTTTGAGGAAGAGAGAGCTGACAAAAAAAAAGTGAGACCTAGCAGAAAAAAGAATCAAGCTAGTTTTAAGAAAAAACAACATGTTTAATTTATGCTTAAATTTCCCACAGAATCAATGTCTTGTCAGACAAAATTACTGATGCAACTAATTGACATCTTCTGAGGAAAAACTCGTCAATGAAAAAAATTTCTGACCACCTCTACTCTTTTTATTATAATGATTCTGTGATAGTCTTTATACACTACAATGATAATTCAATGCTAGCGCAATATTAAACAAATTAATTAAGTAGCAATAAAAGACACTGGTGTAAAAAGCATATATATTTATCAAAAACAAGGAGTCAAGATAGGATTCTACAACAATTTAAAAATAATCTTCAAAAAGATGTGGAGCTTCTTCATGCTTCACAGTTATGGAGAGCTTAGTAAGAGATACAGTAAATATTAACAGTCTTTGTGAAGTGCAGAAACCACCAATACATTGAAGTGATATGGAACTAGAAGGAAGATTCTTGTAAGCACTGAAAGCTTATAACCACCAGGAGTTAAAAGCTATAAACAGGAAATCAGAATAGCAAAAAGACAATTATATCTTTCTCTAAAAATCAAGTAGACTAATTACTCCTCTTGGATGCGCTGGGTAGAAAACTTCAACACACACAAGAATTTACTGTCACTAATTACAATGCCATACTCACACTATAAACAAGTTCCATTTCCTCCCAATCATGAGTAAGTAGGCCAACTATAAATATGGCTTCAAGTTAGGGATATACAATGGTAAACACAAGCTGAATACAGACAGATGTGAGTGAAGTGTTTCAACATAAAGGTAAACGTCATGACATGTTCTCATGATGGTCATGAGGCATGCCAGGCACCTTAAACTCCCTGAAGTTCATCAAACCAACTTGAGCCATGCTCCAGAGCTTGAAAGTGGAATTCAATCTTGTTCAGATTTAGATCTGATTTCATTTTCTTCCCCCAAAAGTGTCTTTTACACTATCTCCAACTACACTGAGGTTTTAGTGTCATCACCTGCTGCCAAGAGATTCCTCCCAAACTTCAGTTTGATCAAAAACTTTTGGAATAATTGCAAAAATTAAAAAAAAATTAAGTCTTTTTTTTTTTTTTTTAAATGTAAATGATGGAATGATCAATTTATTCCCTGGAAAGCTGTTAGCTTTTTTTTTTTAAGTTTTCATGTCTATTTTTAAATCCTTCAGGACTTAACAATATTATAAACTTTTAAGTATATTTATGAAAAAATCTTGTATGTGGCAAAAACATTAATTACATACAGATATCCAAGTAATTTTTGGCCTACATACATCAAATACTTTTTCTACCCTCATCAATCAAATCTTGCATAGAATTTGGAGTGGGTTTAAAACAGCGTAATTTTTACCTGCCTTGCTGAACTTGAAGAAAAAAAGTCAAGTGGTGAGTTATGAATAAACATTGAAGTTTTTTTGTCAATATGTAGCTCTCTAAATTTAATAGGAACTTTTTTTTCCCCCTCCATGATCAAGTTCTATGTTAGAAAGTTTTTAAGCATATTACACTAAATCCCTACAGACACTATTATTACTTCATGTTTGTGTTTCTTTAACTTAAAATGTTACTAAAAATATTTATCTACAGTACTACTGAAAAAAAACCCCAAACATTTACTGAACATAGAACATCAATGTCTTTGCCAAATAGAACAGAAAAAAGTTCATGAACAAAATGACCCTTCTATGGGTCAGAGAACCTCTTCTATTCAGCTTGTTAAGCCAGCCAATGCTTTATGTCCAGGAAAATTTAAATATGATTATTTCAGCCAAATGTTAATTTTCAAAACTAGTAACAAAACTAACAAGAGAACATGCATGAAAACATAAGTTATAATTTCCACCTCATGGTCTTTTAGCCAAAACCTACCAAAGTCTGTGTGAATTCTTCCCATGGTTTGAGGCAAACATCAAAGGATTTTTGGAATGACCAAAAATCAGTTGTGAATTATGAAATGTAACGGAGCATTTGCAAATTCAAATCAAGTGTCTAAATTCTAATCTTATGCTTGCAAAATGGGAAGCCATTAAAAAAAATAAATTCAAGTCTTTGTTCAAACACAGTTGGGAAAAAAATCCTCAGGTCTGTTCTTAAATAAAGATAAAAATGGGAAAGGTACTTTAAACTAAAAATGAAATATTTAAGTACTCTTCAAGCACACTTCCTCCCCTCCCCCCAATCCTGCATTTAAATGTTGTTTTTTAAGTAACTAAGAATCTGCAAAGCCTGTCAGACAATAGGGATTTTAATGGAAAACTTCTGCCATTCCCAACTGCAAAATGTTGGCAACTCCTCCGCAAAACATGTATTAGCACTACAGCGTGCCCAGACAAAATGTATATACTTCCAAGTAAATATAGTAATACTTTTACACAAAACGCACCTAAAATTTTCTTCCCAAAGAAAGAAGAGCAGTAAAATCAGCATAAAGAGAAGCAAGTCTGCATATGATAAACAAGAAAGTTGGTGATTTCAATTACAATGAAACATTTTGCAGGATAAAAAATATACACATGCGTTAACCTGAAATACGTATTTCCTGGCTCTTAGTCAGGAAATTGATCATACAAATCTTTAAATCTACTTAGAGAACACCTGATCTGCCAGCTGCAGTAAACACAGGTATATGTTGTAGAGGTTTTAGTAAAAATAAAGATAAGGCTTAAGCACAAAAAGTACCACAATGTATGCTGAAGCACTTGACAAATCTAGACTAGCACATGGGTGTGCTTATGGACGTACACACAAGGAAACATAAAAGCGCTTCAGGAATTTGGGATATTTATATCCCTGGTTAAGTCCCATCTCCCATCACTCACCTTCACAGCTGTAACTGTACACCGCAACCGTTGACCTTTCAACCAGATTCTCATCATGATGCCAGCTCACTGCCATGTCCCCCATTCCAAAATAAGGTTCTTGTTTCAAGTACAGCATTTGTAGTGGATCCATATAATTCAATAAAGTCACATTATAAGACGTTCTGTCCTTTAGACTTATGTAGTCATCAGCTGGTACACAACAACTGCTTTGATCTTTTGAAACAGACCCTTTCTCTGTAAGAGAAGTAGCAAAATTTTGCTCCCTATCTATTACGGTAGTATCGTTAATTTCTCTGGTCTCAACCAAATTTTGTCCTTGCAATGCCTTGACTGCTTCAATATGCAAGTAGTCATTAAGTCTGATTAATGCTTTACAGGCATCATGTATTTGATGACTGCAGTATTTTATATCATAACCCTCAGTAGGCCAAGGAACTGTAAATAATCTTGTGTTCAAGTATTTGTATGTGCATCCTGGGTTTCCAATTAATATACGAGACACAGGGGTAACAAAATCTTTTCCTTTGATCCTTACAAGATCTTGAAAGAAACAATCATGTTCTCGCAAGGTCAGAAAGCCTTCTTGTACCATTTGATGGAGCTCTTCAGGTACCGTGTCAGATTTTCTGAAAATCAGCTTGGAATATTTGGACTTCCACTAAAGGAGGAAAAAAAAAATAAATAATGAAACACGAACAAACCCCCACTCAATATCAACAAAACCAGCAAAAGAATTATTCTTTTTACAGGAACCAAAGTATTTAATATATTCAAGAATAGACAAGGCTCAGTTGACAAGTTAACAAACATGAGTCTAGATTATGGTGAAGAAATAGATTTTTTTACTTTATTTTCATATCCCAGTGCATTGTGCAAACTATAGATACGTACAACTGGCCTGTAACCAGAGAGTATCACCAGGGCAAATCTCTAAATTAATAAATAAATAAATGTGAGGATTCTGGCAGACTCCCCTTGTGGATTTGTAGACAAATACCTCTAAGTATACAAACAAAAGAATACCAAGCAGTAACAAAGACCCTTCTGTCTCATTCTCATGTGCCGAATTCTCTCATTCTGATACGCAGAATTCTAAAGGCCTATGCAATAAACTCTAGTAATTAGTTTTATACGACAGCATTTTTTAGAGCAAAAATAACAAAATGTAAGTTTTTAAAAAAGCCAACATTCTGCTGTGGTGCACCTCTATCTTCAAAGTAGTGCTTGACATACTGGTCCTATTTCCACATTCCTCAATACATGCCAATTCATTTTACACAAAAGTTCCCCTTTTAGATAAAAGAAGATGCCAAAATTATTTTCTTTCCCATCTCCCCAACTGCAATATTTTTTTTCCTCATATCCTCTCCTGACCACACCAGCTCTGGCATCAGCTGGTGTTCAACATCCAGCAGTGCGAGCAGGGAACAACTCCCAGCAAGGTACAACACTGCTAATCAGCAGTATCTTGCTTTGCATGCAAAATACTGCTTCCCACTCCAGGAAGGCTTAGATAATTTTATTTTGTTAATCTGGTTTTCTAAGGAAGTGAGTATCTTATAATCACACCTTTTAATGGCTGCGTCTAAATCTCCTTTAGCTACTGCTGAGATTGTTTGGCAAACTGGACAAAGGCTAGTGAGTAAGTTCTGAATAGAGTAAGTTACCATGTATTTCATTAAAATTCATAGACAAATAAAAGAAACTGACATCTGAAGGTATTAGGCAATGGGGCAAAAGCACGTGGAGGAACAAAGCTAATCTAGCAAAACTTTTACTAATGTAATAGATTATATTCAAAGTGCTTTTAAAAAACAAATAAAAAGGCACCAGCATAAAAACATCACAGTAACTATGATCCATCTGTGGGCTCCTTCTGGTACAGCTCAAACCCACTTTACTAGTACTATCTACTTCCGAGTCAAATTTGAACCTATCTTTCAGGAAATTAATTTTAAAATCCAGAAAAGGTGCCTTTAAAAAAACACAGCCCAGGCAGTAAGTCAGTTTGTGCATTTTCTACTGCATGAAAACAGTTAGACTTTGGCATCGTAAGATTGTTACCCTACAACACTGAAGAAGTGGCTATATAGGACCATTTGTTTCTGCTAAGAACAGGAACATAACAGGAAGTCTATTTTAAAAATAATGATTCTGTTATAAAATAATGTTTAATAATAAATCTTAGTTTATCTATAAACCTTGCCACCATTTCTTGTGAGTTTTTACAGTGAAGCTACGTCCCCTTCTTTACACATTCTTACAGTTTCCAAAAACTAGCTTCCTAGACAGAGGAAAAAAAACCATAACAGTATCTATGGATAACAATAATTACTGACAGTAGTGTTTACGTTCATAAGTTATAATAACAAAGCTTGAAAAAAGTCTCATATATCTGCTTAAGGGTCCCTCTACAACCCCCAGCTCAGAACACTGGATCCCAGCCTTCCTTAAAAGAAATGAATATAAACTTGATAAACACAATTCCCCTGAGCTTCCAAAAGCCCAAAACAATTCCTTGAGATCCTGAACTGTCCCCTTTGTTTCAATCATTGTTTTGTATCTGCAGCCTTTGAACAGTACAATGAAAAAAATCTTTATGAAGAATAACTACTGAAATCAGTAACTGCAAATACTAAGGAATTACAGCTATCAGCTACAGACATGTACATATAGGTTGATAGGAATCACAAGTATTCATTCACAATCATACCTAAGAATGACAAAATGTTCCACATTGTGACATACAAAGATTATCAAGGCATGTTCTGTTTCATTATGCAAACAATATGTATAAAAGAAAGAGCACTAACAGTCATATAGCAGTATTCCAGTATTTCTTTAAATAATTCTCTACATTGGACATACTCAGGCAAAACTAACCAATTACCACATTACATATGTTATTGTGGTGTATTTTAAAAGTTATTACTACTGAGTATTTTTTAACCATTTAATATATCAAATTTCTGACATAAATTGCACACATGAAATTCCAAACAATTATTACAAATAGGAAGGAAAGAACAATATGATGTAAAGCAACTAAATTACTGAAAACATACCCTGGAAAGGAAGTGCTACAGAGGTAACAACACTGTATTCCCCTCCTTACACATTTTGTTGGCAACCAAGTCAGAGGCATGTTACCTTTGGGTTGTGTTTTAAGATTACATGCTTAAGAACTATTTTAACATTAAGTTTAGGATTCTATCTTAAAAACAAACAAACAACACACACCCAAAAAACCCCACACCGATACCTCAGAAGAAATCAGGAAGTGGAAACACATTTCCGACACATCATATGAAAACAGTTTGGTTGTCTTTAAATCTCTGACCAGTCACTGTGCTATGTGCTACATAAGGAAAGCATTAAGGGATCAGAAGACAGGGTGAACACTGGACACCTTGTTGTTTTGGGGGGATGGGGAAGGGGGAGTAATCATGTACTCTGTGTTGTAACCCTGACAGCAAGTATTAAAGGTCAATTCCCTGCTCACTCTGAAAGAAGCAGGTATCTTACTGTCAGCTTTAAAAATTGGTACTCAATATAGAGAATCACCCTACAGGATGATCCAAGTGGCAGAACAGAGTTAGAAATCAGCAATAGGGGCCCTTGATAAACAACCTGCCACTTACTTCATGAAAGGGTAAGTTTGTATTTCAGATATACATATATATATTTAAAGGGGAAGTTTACGATAGATCTAAGGAAGAAGTTCTTCACAGTGAGGGTGGTGAGGCACTGGAATGGGTTGCCCAAGGAAGTTGTGAATGCCCCGTGCCTGGTGGTGTTCAAGGCCAGGTTGGACAGAGCCTTGGGTGACATGGTTTAGTGTGTGGTGTCCCTGCCCATGGTAGGGGGGTTGGAACTAGATGATCTTAAGGTCCTTTCCAACCCTAACCATTCTGTGATTCTGTATTTGTGAACTGCCTTGTTAACAGACTTCTCCTTGTTTCTAAGTCGCTTTAAACATTGCATTGTTTCAGCCTATGATTTGGGGCCCCTTTCTAAATCCTTCATCATGGAAGGCACATTGATAGAGGATATTAAGCGAAGTTTTGCTTTTGATGGAACTTCTTTGTTGTGTTCAGACTGTACATTTCCACACCTGACAGGATACTGTAGTTTTTTACTTGCATCCTACCTAACCTTTCTAACGTGTTCAAAGAAACTGCTTTGTCAGGGGTGCATCTTTAAAGGAGTAAGGGACCTCTCTCCTGGAAAGACAGAATATAAAACTAAATTGTATGTGATATTTCATTTTGACAACTTGTTGTCTTCAAGCTCTCACCCATCTCTTCCTCTCCATCTGTACTACATTTAAGCATCATGGAACTTGTAATATGTACAGCTGTGATTTAAGTAACATTTCACAACCACCATAAGAATTTAAGAGGTGCTTGTGATGCTTCCGATTCTCACACAGACTTAAAAATACCTGCCATGCACACAAACACTACACAAAAAAGGCTAACTCTGTATGATACAAAAAGAACGTATCTAAACTCAGTTAAGTCTGGAACCGGTCTGATTTCACTGCTTATGTTGTTCCCATCATCTTCTATATTTATGAGTTACTCATACTAAGCAAATGAGATGTCATTTGGGCAGCCTCAGCTCCATCTTCTGTTGTCATGTCAGCTCCATGAGACTGGTTTTACAAAGATACAAAAATACACTGGGCATAGCAACTCTTGGCAGCAACAGATAGAAAAGAAGAAACAGGAGGGGATGTCACGGAGCTAAGAAGGAGAAAACAGTAAGCCACGCGAGTCTCAAGAGGGGGAAGAGCTTCTTCATAAACATTAGATTAAGAATGAAAAGAATGTGTCTGATTGTTGGGATTTGTTTTGTTTATATTACTATCCCACTATGTTCAGCACTGTAAGAACAGTGAGAAGACCATGCTTTCCCTAAGCATCCTACAACCCAAATGAATGAGAAAGGTGAGGGAAGTATAGACGCTGCTCAGTATCACAATTGTAATCCCATGGCAAAACTGGAGTTTGACTTCATAAATCAGAATACCCACCAAATAAACCCTTAAAAATGGCAGTGTATTTTATTTTAATATAGCATAAGAAACTGTGGGTAGTTGTTACATGTGTTACCTGGTGCTCAGGTACTGATAACTCAGGACAAAATCCTAAAAATAAATTTACAAAGTTTTCATTCTTGAATATCCCAGCTTTAGAGGTCTTATTTCACATTACCTGGAAGTACATTATCAGCTATGAGGATCCCATTTTCATAACAGATTTAACAGTCTCTCTTTGAAGAAAGATTTGTTGTTCAGTCAAATATCCATTTTAGTTTAGAACAAGCGCAGTTAAAAGAAATACATTACCAATTGATGGAAATCAGCATCGACTGGTGTCATATATGGAAGTCTGTTCTTTCCAAGTTCTTCAAGAAGCTTTTTTTTCTGTTTTGGAGGGGTTAAATTGAAAAAGAAAGTTAGATTAAAACCCAAGATAAAAACAGCCAAGTACAAAACTAGTTGTATTATAAAGAGACAAACATATACAATTATTTTTCTTATTACCTTTGATTCTGGAAAATTAAATAAAAGAAAACGGATGCAAAAAAAGGCAGAGCTTTTCCACTTACAAAGCAGTAATTCAGGTTTGGTAGTTACAGAGCACATGAGTATTTTCCCTCCTAAATTCTTTTTAGAAAAATCAGTCCTTATTACACTGATGAAAACCCATCTTAATCTAATGTCCTTCAGAACTATGCCTAATTTATACCCACTGATTTTTTATTTCTTTTTTAATTTTATTTTCTACTTCCATTCGTGGAGCTAATGTGTCCAAAGCTCATATTCCATTAAATGGAAATCCCAGCAGACAGCCACAAACCTCGTTTGATGTTGGGAGTACGCTAAGAACCAGCTGACTGTGAAAAGCAGGTCTTCTCTGGACCCCTCTTCTCCTAACTCTCTTCTTGCCTCTGGTTTAGACTGAGTGTATCTCCTCCAATGTTAGTCAACACAATCACTAAGAAATTGCTAAGATAAAAACCCAATTGCCCCAAACTGCATTTTCAAGGTTTTCATTAGTAACAAAATTTAAACAAAATATTAAATTTAAAATTAATTACAATTATTGTATGTATGATACAATCGATTGTGCTGCTAAAGTGCAAGAGACACTAGAAATATGCCATCAGATTTTTGGAATCAAACAATTCCAATCCATGACAAGTCCATCCACATTTACGTACAGACAGCCTAACTCAACATGATGTAAGTGTAAGTACAAATTAACACCACTGTAAAAATTGTTGCAGTGGAAGTATTGGCCTAGAAAATTAATACACCATTTTCTTTATTTCTTCTTTCTTCTAGCTTGCAAGGTGATTCCTTTACAAACTTTGATCATTAACAAATATTTACTAATAAAAATACAACTCAAAGATCACAAAAATACATCTGCCATAAAGCTTAAATATTTCAGAGAACAGGATTCACATTCTTATTTTTATTGCAATGTTTTCAACTACATAAACACAACTGCAAGAAATAACTGAAGTGGCAGCTTGCTCAATACTTCTCTATTATAAGAAAAAGACCAGATGGAAATGGAATACCATTTTTAAAGGAACAGTGAGGGTACAATATAAAAAGCCCAAACAAACAAATGAAACAAACAAACAAAAAATAAAAGACAAAAAAACCCAAACCAAAACAATTAAAACCCAAAGACCCCCAGAGAATAAGTTAAAGATAAGTTAAAGTATATTACTTATATTTTCATAAAAACAAGCTATATAGGGGAAAAAAACACACTTCTTCACCTAGAGGTCACCGCAAATTGATTATTCCATAGACAAGAGAATTACTTGTTAAATTACCGCTTTTTTTAAATTCCCCTTTTTATAATTTTTTTGGGTTTGCATATAGGTCAAAACAGGTCTTCCCTCTTCTGGCAATTCCATTTAAAAAAAGGAAGAAAGAATGATGACGTGTAGTAACTAACTGGCTTATAGCAAACACATAAACTGAACTATGAAGAGTGTTATTGCGCATTTTATTCTGTGACGGTGAATTTCATTTATTCAAATTTAAGCATCAAGGAAGATGATGAGCTTTAAAATCCATGAAGAAGTGTAGAAACATTAAGGTTTATAGCTAACAGATCAGTCAGACTAAACCAAGGGCAGGTAGCTCTCACCCATCTCTGCACTCACAACTGCTGATCACTGAGTCTTAACTAGACTGAGAAGAGCAGCACTGAATTTTAGAAACTGGCAGTAGAATTTCTCTAGGTCGCCAGTTTCTCCGGGAACAGGTTGGTATTTTGATATGAAGTCATGGTGAAACTGAGCATAACGTAACTTCAGATTAAGCTGGCAGAAAATGACATGGTAATTTGCTGCATAATCTAAACCAGTAACACTTCTCTATTATGAAAAGCCTGCTGCAATTTTATTACCTGAACTCACTGAAAACATTAGATGAGCTTTGGGGCGGGGAAGAGGTGGGATAAAGAGATTCTGACAATTTCTTTGTCAAGTACCAGCCTCCTGGCTAAAGCACACAACATTAAAATGCACTCTTGTGTATAGGTAGTACTAGTTTACATTTGATTGTCAGATCTGGCTAAGTGCCACTCTTCAGCTTGATGTACAGACTAATACACACAGCTGGGTGGTATAACACACTACTCATCTTACTCATCTCTTATGCAAGAAGCTGTCACACAGATGCCAAATACATCAAGTTGCTTACAAATACCACCAAAAAGTAAAAAAAGAGAACAACTGAAGATCTGGCTATACCAGCTGGCTGATGTATAAATCTAAGCACTGTACACAAGCATTGCTTATAGGCTGTTCCAACGCACAAACTCTGAAACAGGAAAAACAAAAATACTTGAAGTTATCAGGCATCTTAAACAGCATTCTTTAAAACACATTTTCACATTTTAAAATTATTAACAGTGTAACAGTTTACTGAGGTACCAGTATGATGTTTCTTACACTTTAACAACTAATGTGATTTTTACATATACACAATAGTGATGCCAATACGTGAAAGAATCATCATCCCTATAACGTCACCATGCACTGGGCACTGCTCAAGAAACCTTGCTAAATATTGTACTTGGGCCTTCAGAAAGGAGAAAATTCTCTGCAAATATCTTATTTTTTAGGCTGCTGTGAGTGCTAATGGATCTATTGTATCTGACTCTGATAACTGGGAGGAAGACCTGAAGCACTAATGCCCAGTTTCAGAGCATGTGATGAACTTCCTTCAGACATTAACAATCTCTGCTCATTTGTTAGTAATAAACGGGTTTATTAATGAGATGGTTGTAAAATTCAGCAAGGGAACTAGCAATAATTGGCATTTCTTAATCACTATACGTAGAATATTTTTTCCTAAGTTTCTTCATGACAATAGAAATAACATGGTGTATGTTACAGAGCAGAGGAAGTGACAGAAACACAGCTAATACACATCAAAGTCACAGGTCAAAATGCAGTTATCTTACGCACACATGGTTTGTTATTTTCAAATTAAGCGATATAAAGGAAAGATGGGACTTAATGACATTTTCTGGCCAAGAATCGCCACAGTGTAAAAACTTTTGCAGCTGAAGTATTTCCCTGCAGGGTGTCAATAACTTTCTCAAAAGGTTTCATTGCTCTCTTAATTGTAAGACAAAAGTGCAATATCCAGGCTATAAAGGTTTGTGAAGACCTTAGTGTTTCAAACACAGAATTTCCACGTAGTTTCATCATCACATAAATCAGAAGACAGTAGTCATTTTCCAATTTACAGATCACTGTCTTGGCTGAAGCAGTGTATGATAAAAACTATTTCTACTGAAATCACATTGAAATATTATTGAAATTAGTTCTGACAATGAATATAAGGCTGCAATGACTCAACAATTTCTAATATGTAAAACCACTGAAAACACTAACAGGAAAAGTTTGTTTCTTCCCCCCAGTACTTAGCATAAAACACACTGAAAAAATTATGGAAGAAATTGCATTTTGTAGCACACGGGACACGTAAGTCAATGCAAATATCATTCACCTCTAAAAAGATAACCCTGTTTGCTGCCCTGCATTTCTCCTGAATTCTGGGAACATGCCAGCTTCAGTGCATATAGTAATCTCTTTGGACCTGAAGCAGCATCTCATCTAGGTGTAAACAGCCAGTCACACAAGTCCAAGACAGGGATCAACACAACAGTGCCTAGAAAGCATTTAAGAATGATAGTTTTTGGCTAAACAAGAACTCCTCACTGTGATGAGCAGTAAAACATACACTTTCTTCAAACTACTAGACTGCCAAAAAACATGACTGCAACTTGCTAATCTGGAAAAGCCCAGCTCATTATTCCCTAGAAAAGATTTTTTTAAAAGACATTGTTTTGAATCTTCTAACAGGCATGTTCCTGATCTCTGACAGAATGGCAAGCAACCTGTTTTCCAGCCAGTAATTACTTACTTCCACCTTACAATCAGCATTATGCTGAACGAAGAGAATGCAGTGCAGATAAATCATGCTATGAAAAACACATATGAAAGAATACAATTCAAAGAAAAACTGAGTATCTTGCTGTTGCATTTAGCTTCTAGTTGAACAATTCTTCAATATTTATTATTTACAAATATTTCACATAGGAATCACACATATACAAACCTCAGCAGATGGCTGAGAACTGACTAGACTCTTCAAATTTACCTTTCAGGCAAGCTGGTGCTTGGCAACAGAAGCAGCCTGCACTTGCTTGATGCATAGAAAAGAGCACAGCCAGCAAAACAGTTTGCATACTCTGAATTTTCTGATTCACTACCTGACTCATGTTACAGTGACCTAAATTCCCACCTAATGTTGCCTTAATTTCATCAGGTAAATGATTTTTTTTTTTTTTAACTAATGATTGAAAATGCCCATTTTCACTCCCCTCAACCCTCAGCAGTCTCATAGCAGAGAGGTAAAAGAAATCTGAACGTTTTATCTAGGCTGAGTTTTACCTATCGCATGTCTAGATCTGACAAATAATCTTAGTGAGGCCAAAGGAGGGAATAGGTTAAGAGTGCAGAAGGAAGGCCTAATGGCTTTGAAACACCATCTCTACTCACAGCCTACAAAAGCCCTTCTGCCTTAACTCCTTTCATTAAAAGTTCTTAAAACATTTCCCCTTTTTTTTTTGTCCTAAGAAGTTCTTCTAACGGCCCGCTGCAGCTTTTACACTTCTGAGAATACTGACTAAGGAACAGAACTAGTAGAACATTTCAGGGTTGTGGTTTGTTTTTTTTTTTGTTTGTTTTCAATGCAGTCCGATGTATTTGCAGAAATTCTGGGTCAGCTCCTACAAAAAAGGCCTCTATTCAAAGCATAAGAAAGTTATCACCTCCACCACCAACACTGTTTCTCCCAATAGTCTTTTTTTCCAAAGGGTTATGAGGTTT